TCAAAAAACTACCTAAGAACAAAATGCATGGACCAGATGGCTTCACGGCTGAATTTCATCAAACGTTTAGTGAAGACCTAATACCCACCCTCTTTAAAGTATTCCTAACAGTAGAAGAGGAGGAATACTTCCAAACTCATTCTATAAGGCTAGCATCACTCGACTACCAAAATCAGACAAAGATACTGCAAAAAAAAGAAAATTATAGACCAATATCCTGATGAACCTATGTTCAAAGTATTAGGAAACTGAATTCAAAAATACATCAAAAACATCATTCTTCATGATCAAGTGGGATTTATTCCAGGGATGCAAGGATGGTACAATATTGAAATATCAATCAACATAATACACCCCATCAACAAAAAGGACAAAAATCACATGGTCATCTCAATAGATGCTGAAAAAGCATTTGACAAAATTCAACATCCATTCATGATAAAAACTCTCAACAAAATAGGTATATAGGGTAAGTACCTCAATATAATATAGGCCATATACAAAACCCACAGCCAACAATATTTTTAACAGCAAAAAGCTGAACATTTTTCCTCTAAGACCGAGAACAAAATGAGGATACCCACTCTCACCATTTTTATTTAACATAGCAGTGGAGGTCCTAGTCATGGTAATCAGACAACACAAAGAAATAAAAGGCATCCAAATTGGTAAGGAAGAAGTTAAAGTGTCACTGTTTGTAGAGGACATGATATTACAGATAGAAAACCCTAAAGACTCCACCAAAAAACTATTACAACTAGTAACTGATTTAAGCAAAGTTGCAGGATATAAAATTAATACACAGAAATCTGTTGTACTCCTATATACTAACAATGAACTAGCAGGAACAGAAATCAGGAAAATAATTCCATTTACAATTGCATCAAAAAGAATAAAATACCTAGGAATAAACCTAACCAAGGAGATGAAAGACCTATACCCTGAAAAGTACAAGATACTTAAGAGAGAAATTAAAGAAGATACCAACAAATAACACCCACATGCTCAAGGATAACATCCCATGCTCAAGGATAGCAATAATTAATATTGTCTAAATGGCCATTCTGCCTAATGCAATCTATAAATTCAATGCAATCCCTATCAAAATACCAGCAGCATTCTTCAACAAACTAGAACAAATAGTTCTAAAATTCATATGGAACCACAAAAGACTCCAACTAGCCAAAGCAATCCTGAGAAGGAAGAACAAAGCTGGAGGATTATACTCCCTAACTTCAAGCTCTATTACAAAGCCACAGTAATCAAGACAATTTGGTACTGGCATAAGAACAGACACATAGATCAATGGAACAGAATACAGAGCCCTGATTATAACACAAACACATATGGCCAATTAGTATATAATAAAGGAGTCATGGATATACAATGGGGAAATGACAGCCTCTTCAACAATTGGTATTGGCAAAACTGGACAATTACATGTAAGAGAAAGAAACTGGATTACTGTCTAACTCCATACACAAAAGTAAACTTGAGATGGATCAAAGACCTGAATATAAGTCATGAAAGTCATAAAACCATGAGGAGGCAAAAATCTCAATATAAACATGAGCAATACCTTCCTGAACACATCTCCTTGGGAAAGGGAAACAAAAGCAAAAATGAACAAATGGGACCACATAAAGCTAAAAAGCTTCTGTACAGCAAACGACACCAACAGTAGAACAAAAAGGTATCCTACAGTATGGGAGAATATATTTGTAAATGACATATCCAACAAGGGGTTAACATCCAAAATATATAAAGAACTTACATGTCTCAACACCCAAAAAGCAAATAACCTGATTTAAAAAATGGGTGGAGGATATGAACAGATAATTCTCCAAAGAAGAAATTCAGAGAGCCAACAAGCACATGAAAAGATGCTCCACATCACTAATCATCAGGGAAATGTAAATTGAAACCACAATGAGATGTCACCTCACACCAGTTAGGATGGCCGACATTCAAAAGACAAACAACAAATGCTGGCAAGGATGCAGAGAATGGGGAAACCTCCTGCACTGCTGGTGGGAATGTAAATTAGTTCAACCATGTGGAAAGCAGTATGAACGTTCCTCAAAAAACCAAAAATAGAAATACCATTTGACCCAGACATTCCACTCCTAGGAATTTACCCAAAGAAAACAAGATCCATGATTTGAAAACACAGGTGCACCCCTATGTTTATTGCAGCACTATTTACAATAGCCAAGATATGGAAGCAACCTAAGTGTCCATCAGTAGATGAATGGATAAAGAAAAGGTGGAACTTACACATACTCACACACACACACACACAAAAAATAAATAAATAAATAAACAAAATGAGCCTGTAACTCTCAGCTATTCTGCCAGAAGTGATAAGGAGCTGAACGATTTAACACATTAAAAAAAAAATAAGGTTCCCATTTTTATTACAGTTTCTAGCTATTATTAAAATGTAAGACTGCTATGAATTTTTGCCCAATTCAATACATTTTACCTCAAATTCAGGTATCTATGAGTATTTCATATCACCAAATAAGCATATTTTAATCTCTCTTCTTTTCAAATATTTATACTTCATTTCTTATTGTATTGGCCAGAACAGTATTTTTAAGAATAAGTACCAAATTGTATGATTTTAGGTTATGAACTAAAAAAAGGCCAAGGAAACCAAATAGAGATTCTTTTTTTTTTTGGTATCATTAATCTACAATTACATGAGCAACATATGGTTATTAGACTCCCCCATCATCAAGTCCCCACCACATACCCCATTACAGTCACTGTCCATCAGCATAATAAGATGGTATAGAGTCACTATTTGTCTTCTCTGTGCTATTCTGCCTTCCCTGTGCCCCCCACCTACATTATGTGTGCTCATTGTAATGCCCCTTATTCCCCTTCTCCCTCCCTTTCCACCCATCCTCCCCAGTCCCTTTCCCTTTGGCAACTGTTAGTCCATTCTTGGGTTCTGTGAGTCTGCTGCTGTTTTGTTCCTTCACTTTTTTTTCTTTGTTCTTATACTCCACATATGAGTGAAATCATTTGATACTTATCTTTCTCCACCTGTCTTATTTCACTGAGCATAATACCCTCCAGCTCCATCCATGTTGTTGCAAATGGTAGGATTTGTTTTCTTCTTATGGCTGAATAATATTCCATTGTGTATATGTACCACACCTTCTTTATCCATTCATCTACTGATGGACACTTAGGTTGCTTCCATTTCTTGGCTATTGTAAATAGTGCTGCGATAAACATAGGGGTGCATATGTCTTTTTGAGACTGGGCCCCTGCATTCTTAGGGTAAATTCCTAGGAGTGGAATTCCTGGGTCAAGTAGTATTTCTATTTTGAGTTTTTTGAGGAACCTCCATACTGCTTTCCACAATGGTTGAACTGGCTTACATTCCCACCAGCAGTGTAGGAGGGTTTCCCTTTTCTCCGCATCCTCACCAACATTTGTTGTTGTTTGTCTATTGGATGGTGGCCATCCTTACTGGTGTGAGGTGATATCTCACTGTGGTTTTAATTTGCATTTCTCTTGATGATTAGCTATGTGGAGCATCTTTTCATGTGCCTGTTGGTCATCTGAATTTCTTCTTTGGAGAAGTGTCTGTTCAGATCCTCTGCCCATTTTTTAATTGGCTTATTTGCTTTTTGTTTGTTGAGGTACATGAGTTCTTTATATATTTTGGATGTCACCCTTTATTGGATATGTCATTTATGAATATATTCTCCCCCAAACAGAAATTTTGGAAATTATTTAAACTCTTTAAGAACTTAGTATTGCAAATCAGAAGCAACATACCAATGGTGAGAAGATTTGCTCTTTAAGACATGTTGGAGTGATAGCTGGGTCCCCACCTGGCCATCAGTATAGTGGAGTAAGAACTGCTTCCTACCACACAGCTGCAATCCCATATAGGTAAGGGAAAAAAGGAATAAAGGAAATGGAATAGCATATTTATTGCAGTTGTGGAAGGAAGATAAATTTCTGACTATTGCAAAATAAACGATATTACCAGAGACAAACTAAATAGGTATGAATACATATAAAAATAGTTTTACCCAGTGAGATGTAAAAAAAGGGAAGAAATAGAAGAGGAAGAAAATAACTGATATAAGCTTACTAGCATGTATATGTGTGAATGTATAAATCTATTACAAATATGAAATATAGAGGATCAATAGCCATATTTCATTGAAGAAATGGTCAAACAGTCAAAAGAGATCGATAATCAATTTACATGTAAAGGAAATAGAAATAGTAAATTATTATTTGGAATACTGCATATCCTCTATGAAATAAAAGAAATGTTAATACACCTTTAGGAAATCACTACACACTTGTTAAGAAACTGACAAAGAAAGCTAGAACACAATGCAAAGAAAAGTATACTTACATATTGCTGGTAGCACTGTCAGCTCGCCGAGGCTCTCTGGAAAGCCGTATAATAAATGTAACAGCTACAAATGTGTGCCTGCATGTACACGGGCAAATGCACATTCTGACCTCTTATGTCCACTTAGAGGAACTATATCCCCAAAAGGGGAAATTATCATTTGTTTTAAGAAATTAAGAGAACTATTCATAACAGGAAAATATGAAAATAACCTAACAACCTAAAATAGTGAAAAGGCTAAACAAACCACAGGATAGCAACAAGATGTATCACACACCTTTTAAAAAGGTCACATATGGGGAATCGGAAGTGCAAAGGGAGGAACTCAAACTAGTGCTTTGCAAAACATATATATCTATATATATGCATGTAAATGAAGAAGGATGTAGAAAGAGTGAATATCTGCCTATACTCTTATTTTATTTAGGTACAACAGGCCTGGGCTGGTACTACTCAGTAATTGCGCAACTATCTCTTTCCTTTAACATAACAAGAGACAAGAGGCACCCTCATCCTCCAGTAAGGGCCATTACAGGAACACACATTCTGCTTCACAGCTCAGGTCTCTGGAAAGGAAAGCAACTGCTCAGTTGTCCAGTGGGCTTACCGTGAGCGTAGCAAGTGACATGAAGCCAATGAGGTTATTCCATACTTTATCAATGTCCTTTAGCAACTGCTGGAGTTTCTCACTGCACACCGCAGTGGCCTTTATCCCCAGCTCCACACGTTTGGTTACTCTGTACACCTCAACAACACCTGACAGGGTGAGAGAGGCAAGAGTTAGCTGCTGGAAGTGTAGGGAAAGAGATGAGTGAGTCAAGGCACCAGCATTGCTTGCTGATTACCATAATTGGAAATAAGCTCTATATCTGGACAGAGGTGAAGTTCCTATTCCATGAGGCCAATGCACCAATCAACACTACAGTGTAAAATACTGGTAAGAGCACAGATTCTACAGCCATGCTACGTGGGTTCAAACCTCAGCTCTGCCTCTTATTAGCTTTTAAGTCACATAACCTGTGCCTCAGTTTCCTCATCTATAAAATTGGAATAATAATAGTACCTTCTCCTTGAAGAGAATTAAATGAGTCAATGCTGTAAAAAGTTTAAAACAGTGCCTATAGAAAGTATGCACTAACTGCAATGGGGTGGGGTGGGGTGACTTGATAATATGGGTGAATGTTGAAACCACAATGCTGTTCATGTGAAGCCTTCATAAGGTTGTATACCAATGATACCTTAATTTAAAAAAAAAAAAGAAAGAAAGTAGGCACTAGGTGAGTATTAGCTTTTTTTTTTCTGGTTTCTTTATGAGTCCATCTGTTTGAGTTTAGGAAATCCCATTAAATTGTCTGAATATAGGAATATTTTTAAAAGCTTAAAAGAATCTGAGTATCAGTATCATCACAAAATAATTAAACATCCCACTCCTCTGAATGTCCAAGGATTTACAAACTGGCCTCATGCACCTTTCATACACTTAGCAGAACATAGGATAGTCATTTTCCTGTGGCCTCTGAATTGTGTCTGAACTCCTCAAGCAAGGATAACTATCATCAAGCAAGATGCCAAGTATCTTCACATTCTAAGGACAGCCACCACACATGTCCCCGACCTTTACCCCAGCCTCTGTGAGAGAGAACTGGAGAATTCCAGGGCCCCTGTATGGCACTATGGCTTTGCTTCTTCCTTCCCCAGAAGGGCAGGTCTCAGGGCCTTGTGAGATCATCTTTTGTACATATCAGGAAACCTTCTAGATGGAGAGAGAGACAGGCAGCCCATTACCTGGTGAACATCTGTGTAGGCAGGAAGGAGAACCAGAGTGAGGTGGCAGGAGTAAAGGAGACACCATATCCTTTCATTATCTACTCTTTTGGCAAATACTGTTGGGTGATTACTATGTGCCAGGCACTGGTCTAAATGTCAGAGACAAAGCAGTGAACAAAACAAACCAAATCTCTCCCCAGCCTTGGAGGTACATTCTAGTGTAGGTGGACAGATAATATACATGAACAGTAAGTAAAATACGTATAATATTAAAGGTGATGGGGCAAGGGAGAAAATTAAGCAGGAAAAGGAATGGGAAATGCAGGTGTGGGGAGAGAGGCTACAATTTTGAGGAAGGGAAGCCATGGAAGACCTCACTTAGAAGATGACATTTGAGTAAAGTTCTGAAAAAGATTAGCATCCAGTGGCCAGGAAGTTAAGGAATGTATGATGTCATTAAGGAGTAGAGAGGATAAATCAACAGAGCATGGTAAAGTATTGACTGGAGACCAGATGATTTCATTTTAAGGCTTCACCTAGTTCAGACTCTTTGATAAACTAGTAACAGACATAGTTTTACATTATTGCTATTATGTGTATAATAAAGACTGGAAAACAGCCATTAGATATCTTTAACAAGTAGTTGTTACTGTCTCAGACTTAAGCCTCTCATCTATAAATGCGACTTAGGTGAAGTCATATGTAGCTTGAAAAATCTAGATTAAAATACTGAATATAGGGAAAACTGAAAATATTTCAGTGTCATGATTTTGAATAATTAAAATATAAAAGAACATACCTAATAAATATTCCATGCCTTTAGCTGACTGAATTACCTCTGTGCACACAGAACTACTACTGATTCCATTTAAAGTATCATTTGCCTTCTTAATGACCTACAAAAAATGAAATTACATCACCTTGTATAATAAAGAAAATTCATTGCAAATCAGTTTACTGTAAGTAGAAAACCCAAAGGAAAAGCCAGGAGGTGTGAAAAAACATGACTGACTGATACATGTACATGACTATGTGGAAACAAATCTAAGAATTTAATTTTAACCTTGAAGAAACAATCCTCCATGTCTTTGGAAAGGCAGACAGAGGATCTTTAGCTTAAACATGATTTGACTTTAGGCAGAGTTAACAATATCATTTTGTTACTTCTTAAACATAGTGACAGATGAGGCATAATTGACAAATGAGCAGTATTTGCTACCACAAATGTTCAAGAAGCTTCACTTCAGATGCATTACTTTCCATAAAGCTTCACTTGATACAAGACCGCCAACGAAGGGCTCTCCTCACGTTTTCTTCCATCAATTCAAATGAACCCCAGAGAAGGCAAAATGGCACAAGACAACACTTACATATGTATGACAGCACAAAAGTGACATACTCACATCTAGGGCACTCCCCAGGCACCTCTGCCATTCATATGCGTATCTCTCATTCTCCTGTGAATTTTATGCAAAGAACTAAGTTAAATGGGCATGCCTGGAATTCACTATTGACTACTCTGTCAATTCAAAGAGCACTGGAAGACTTTCCTTTTTTATTAAAACAAAGCACAGTTGTTCCAGTTCAGGCAAACTTTATCTTTTGAAACCACTAAAGACTATTTAAAATACCTAATAAATATAGCTTCCGTGCACATGACTTGTGAATCTGTGTAGAGGCTTTCCTCTGTAAATGTCTTCTCATTTGTTCCAATAATAGGGTAAACATCTTCAAAGGCACTCGGCACATAGGTGCCTGGTACAAAAGCCAATTATCAAACCATTGGTTTTCTACTCCACAGTTACGCTGTGTGTGTGCGTGCATGATAGGACAAAGAGTTAAGCATGTTAGCAGGAGGAGGAACACAGTATGGGACTAAGATGTGCAAACATAAACAGAAGATCTGAACATTTTCCCTCTCTCCTCTATTGTGATGTTTTAACATTCATGAAGATGATGAAGACTTACCTAAGTGGTAAGAATTCCCCCAGCTGTTTCCCTCCTTGTCAAAGTCCCATGAATAATTTCAGTTTTAGAGTCACTAACTACTTTCAGTGGATGCCACATCTGGGAAGGCTTTTCATCCAGGGCCAATGTCACCCTTCTCTCACTTTAATTACATATTTAACATCTGGTGCCTTGTGATTTTCTGGCCCTCATTTCCCTGTATGAAAACTGAAAGCATTTTTTCTTGAGGCCCTCAGAATTCAGCTGGTCTTTTAACTGCCTCCTCCTCCCCTGAGGAAAACTAACTGCTCACCTCGACCTCTCCTGTCAGATCTTTGTATTTGTCACGGATGACAGGCAGAGCAGGCTTCTCACTCAGAGTGTTGGAACGGTCTCTGAAAGGCTGCTCCAAAGCTGAAGGAGAAGAACGGCTTATTTCTTTATCACCAAGGCTCAAACTTCTCTTGTGTGATCCTGGGAGAAGAGAGTGGCACAGAGATTTGATTACTCAGCTTGGTTCAAGCAGATGCTCTTCCTTGCTAACATGACCTCATCCTCAGATGTTTATGTCATCAGACATGCAGAACCACTATCTGTGTTCACCTGTCTGCCAAGCTACTTGTTGATCCTTCTAACTGTTCTCTTTTGCTTGGTTCCCTGCCTTTAATTTTTTCTTTTATTTTTACTCTTCTCTGATCTATCACAATTCTTTCGTAACTCTAAGTGTAGTCACTGAAGTCTGGAGGACAAAAATGTCTTTCTAAGTATCAGTTATTAGAAACATAAAAATTGTGTCGCTTTTTTGGTCATTAGTTATGGTCTTGCACTGAGCTCCTACTTACTCTCTTAATCTAACAGAAATCAACGACCCCTTCTGTCAGGATGGGCTTACAGTAGATAGGGCAAACTCAAAGGCCTTCGGAGAGCAGGCACCTACAGTCAAGGACTGAAGTGGCTCAGCAGGACATAGGAAGTGGTGGGGACTCTGACACTGCAGAGGGCATATCTCATCCACTGGGGGTATTGCTGCTTAGCCCCAGCTGACTGCCAAGAGTGGGGATTCCGGGCCTCATAGTGCCAGGAATCATGACTTTTCAAGAAAAGCTAGACATCCAGATTGCGAAGTCTCATGATTTTTATATACTGGCAATTGTTTCACACATTAAAAAACTTTCTGAATGGGTCAATCAAAACAGGTTGGCAGACTGGATCCAGATCTACAGCGGTAATGTTATGGCCTCTGGATTTAAAGTTACAGCCCACCTAGACAGCTATATGCAAGAGAATGAAACTGGATTATTGTCTAATCCCATACACAAAAGTAAACTCAAAATGGTTCAAAGACATGAAAGTAAGTCATGAAACCATAAAACTCTTAGAAGAAAACATAGGCAAAAGTCTCTTGAATATAAACATGAGCAACTTTTTTCTGAGCACATCTCCTCGGGCAAGGGAAACAAAATAAAAAATGAAAAAATGGGACTACATCATGCTAAAAAGCTTCCGTACAGCAAAGGACACTATCAGCAGAACAAAAAGCATCCTACAGTATGGGAGAATATATTCGTAAATGACATATCTGACAAGGGGTTAACATCCAAAATATATAAAGAACTCACATGCCTCAACACCCAAAAAGCAAATAACCCTATTAAAAAATGGGCGGAGGATATGAACAGACAATTCTCCAAAGAAGAAATTCAGATGGCCAACAGGCACATGAAAAGATGCTCCACATTGCTAATTATCAGGGAAATGCAAGTTAAAGCCACAGTGAGATATCACCTCACAGGAGTTAGGATGGCCAACATAGAAAAGAATAGGAACAACAAATGCTGGCGAGGATGCAGAGAAAGGGGAACCCTCCTACACTGCTGGTGGGAATGTAAGCTAGTTCAACCATTGTGGAAAGCAGTATGGAGGTTCCTCAAAAAACTCAAAATAGAAATACCATTTGACCCAGGAATTCCACTCCTAGGAATTTACCCTAAGAATGCAGGAACCCAGTCTCAAAAAGACATATGCACCCCTATGTTTATCGCAGCACTATTTACAATAGCCAAGAAATGGAAGCAACCTAAGTGTCCATCAGTAGATGAATGGATAAAGAAGATGTGGTACATATACACAATGGAGTATTATTCAGCCATAAGAAGAAAACAAATCCTACCATTTGCAACAACATGGATGGAGCTAGAGGGTATTATGCTCAATGAAATAAGCCAGGAAGAGAAAGACAAGTATCAAATGATTTCTCTCATCTGTGGAGCATAAGAACAAAGCAAAAACTGAAGGAACAAAACAGCAGCAGACTCACAGAATCCAAGAATGGACTAACAGTTGCCATAAGGGAAAGGGGCTGGGGGTGTGGGGTGGGGTGGGTGGGAAGGAAGGGAGAAGGGGAATAAGGGGCATTACAATTAGCACACATAATGTAGCGGGGGTGGGGGGCACAGGAAAGGCAGTATAGCACAGAGAAGACATGTAGTGATTCTATAGCATCTTACCACACTGATGGACAGTGACTGTAATGGAGTATGTGGTGGGGACTTGATAATGGGAGGAGTCTAGTAACAACAATGTTGCTCAGGTAATTGTATATTAATGATACCAAAAAATAAAAATAAAAAAAATAAAAAGTTACAGCCCACAATTAGGAAACAGGAGCAGAGCTAACTTGCCCAGAAGTAGATCAAATATATTTCTTTAGCTCTTTCAAAAGCACACCTCTAGCTAACATGCTAATAAACAACAGACTGTGCTATGTTTGTTTTTAGCACCAAAAGCATTATCTGAGGTTGCTGACTTGACTTCAGTTCAGGCTCAGAGAAACCTCTTTTACTGTTATCTGTAAAAGACCCTGATTTCAGAGGCTAGGAAGTCTATTTCCTGCTAAATCAGGGACCAACTTTTTATTCTTAAGAAAGAACATCGAAAGACCTATACCCTGAAAACTACAAGACACTCTTAAGAGAAATTAAAGAGGTCACTAACACATGGAAACTCATCCCATGCTCCTGGCTAGGAAGAATTAATATCGTCAAAATGGCCATCCTGCCCAAAGCAATATACAGATTCGATGCAATCCTATCAAATTACCAACAGCATTCTTCAATGAACTGGAACAAATAGTTCAAAAATTCATATGGAGCCGTCAAAGACCCCAAATAGCCAACGCAATCCTGAGAAGGAAGAATAAAGTGGGGGGATCTCGCTCCCCAACTTCAAGCTCTACTACAAAGCCACAGTAATCAAGACAATTTGGTACTGGCACAAGAACAGAGCCACAGACCAGTGGAACAGAATAGAGACTCCAGACATTAACCCAAACATACATGGCCAATTAATATTTGATAAAGGAGCCATGGACATACAATGGGGAAATGACAGTCTCTGCAACAGATGGTGCTGGCAAAACTGGACAGCTACATGTAAGAGAATGAAACTGTCTAACCCCATACACAAAAGTAAACTCCAAATGGATCAAAGACCTTAATGTAAGTCATGAAACCCATAAAACTCTTAGAAAAAAACATAGGCAAAAATCTCATGGACATAAACATGAGTGACTTCTTCATGAACATATCTCCCTGGGCAAGGGAAACAAAGGCAAAAATGAACAAGTGGGACTATATCAAGCTGAAAAGCTTCTGTACAGCAAAGGACACCATCGATAGAACAAAAAGGTATCCTACAGTATGGGAGAACATATTCATAAATGACAGATCTGATAAAGGATTGACATCCAAAATATATAAAGAGCTCACGCACCTCAACAAACAAAAAGCAAATAATCCAATTAAAAAATGGGCAGAGGAGCTGAATAGACAGTTCTCTAAAGAAGAAATCCAGATGGCCAACAGGCACATGAAAAGATGCTCCACATTGCTTGTCATCACAGAAATGCAAATTAAAACCACAATGAGATATCAGCTCACACCAGTAAGGATCGCCATCATCAAAAAGACAAACAACAACAAATGTTGGTGAGGTTGTGGAGAAAGGGGCACCCCGCCTACACTGCTGGTGGGAACGTAAACTAGTTCAACCATTGTGGAAAGCAGTATGGAGGTTCCTCAGAATGCTCAAAATAGAAATACCATTTGACCGAGGAATTCCACTTCTAGGAATTTACCCTAAGAATGCAGCACTCCGGTTTGAAAAAGACAGATGCACCCCTATATTTATCGCTGCACTGTTTACAATAGCCAAGATATGGAAGCAACCTAAACGTCCATCAGTAGATGAATGGATAAAGAAGATGTGGTACATACACACATGGAATATTTCTCAGCCATAAGAAAAAAACAGATCCTACCATTCGCAACAACATGGATGGAGCTAGAGGGTATTATGCTCAGTGAAATAAGCCAGGCGGAGAAAGACAAGTACCAAATGATTTCACTCATATGTGGAGTATAAGAACAAAGAGGAAACTGAAGAAAACACAACAGCAGCAGAATCACAGAACCCAAGAATGGACTAATACTTACCAAAGGGAAAGGGACTGGGGATGATGTGTGGGAAGGGAGGGATAAGGGCGGGGAAAAAGAAAGACGGCATTACGATTAGCATGTATAGTGTGGGGGGGACATGCAGGAGGGCTGCGCAACACAAAGACAAGTAGTGATTTTACAGCATCTTACTACGTAGTGTGAAGGGGTATGTGGGGGGGACTTGGTGAAGGGGGGAACCTAGTAAACATAATGTTCTTTCTGTAATTGTAGATTAATGATCCAAAATAAAAAAATAAAAAAAAAAAGAAAGAACATCGAGAACTTCAGTGGAAGAAACTAGGAAAGTAAAAGTCTATGTTGAAAGCTACTCACCTTGAACAGAAAGGTCAAAGGTCGCCAGCTCACTTTTGATCATTTCCTCACTGGATTTCATTTTGCTTTGTGAATTGGCCACTAAAAAGTCAAATTTGCTGATTTTTGGTTTTTCACTCTGAAACTCTCCAAAGTCATCTGCACATTCCTTGGGAGTGTCATGAGAAGCGCTGCTGGAAGCTGGGCTTGGGCAAGTGGCCTCCTGCCTCTGTTCAGCTGTAGGCAGGGCTTGTCTTGTGAAATCTGTATAGTCCCCACTTTCATATTCTTTTTGCTCACTGGGCTGAGGCAGCATATCTTTAAAATTGGCAAAAGCTGGGAAGGTAGTTTCTGGAAGAGCATCTTCGCCTGCCAAAGTGGTTACCTTGGAGAGAGATGTCATCGTGATGCTTTCAGAACTGCCAAAGGCAGTCTCTTTCTTCTGAAGAACTGAGGCAGCTGAGGACCCGCTTCCTGCTGGGAGGACAAATGGAGAGAGTTTTCTGCCCTGAGATGCATCATCCCTGTCTGACCAGTCATAGCCCTTAAGTGTGTTCACTGCAAAATTGCTACTGCAGGTTCCAAAAGTAGCATATTTTAAGTCCTCTATATCTGAAAGGGAAATAAGACCCCACAATTAGAGGCAAGCTCACGATTTTAGGCAAAATGCCCTAAATCCTGCAGAAGCAAAATGTCTAGCATGTTTGATTAGCTTTATGCTATGCTGGAGTTCACTAAATTTAGAGCTTGTGCTAAAATTAAAGGAGTTGGGTTGCAAAATCTGATCTTTAAAAACCCACATTAGCCTTGAATTCGCATTTATATTTAGTTACAAAGACTCATTTTCTTTGTTTATAAAAATTACTAAAAAAGAAAGATCATCTACCAATATATATACTATTTGATATGATTAGGGTTATTTAATAAATCCACTTTATAAACTTTGTCCACTTATAAACTTTAAAATGCACTTACACAAAAAAATATTCCCTGACTAAAACATATCTCTTTTATCTTGACTTTGTTGGAAAATGTTCCTTTAAAACACAGTCATATGAAATGTGCATCACAAACTAATTAGAAATTGACAGCTTCTCAAAACTAAGGTGAAAATAATGTTACTTAATTTTAAATCACCTCTTGGGAGTTTCTGTCTTAGGCAAGACCAAATACGAGATTTTAATAAGCAGTTACTTACCTAGTTGTTATTTTGGTCAATATGGACATCATATCGCTGTGATCGAATATGAAGAAAGGAAAATCAATCTAATCTACTTTAGTCCCTAAAAAATAGAATGTAGGTCCTACTGGGCTCCTGTTTCTCCTTCAACTATATGTCAGCCCCTCATTAAAAAAAAAAAAAAAGGAAAGGAAAGAAGAAGAAAATACTGGGGCAGAAGGCTTATTTTACAAAGTATTTTTAATATATGGTTAAATAATGTAAGAGGTAGCATAAAACAGCATAAAGAATGTAGACTTTTGATTTAGACCTGGGTTCAACTCCCCGCTCTGCCACCTACTACTTGTGTGACACTGGGCAAGTTATTTAACACTTCTTAGCCTCGGTTTGCTTACTGTAAGATGAGAAGACCATGTACGTGGAAAAAGGCTGTGATATGACAGTTAACTGTGCATGAAGGGCCTGGCTCAATGTCCAGTAAGCAATACATAGCAGCAATATTTGTACAGCAGAGTTGCCATCAGCCTCAATTTGGCATTTAGTTGCTGTTTTAAGGCCTAAAATGAAATTATTTCAAAGTAAAAATGAAAAGTCGACTCATCATTTTAGTAGTCCTACTAGGGAAAGTTGCCCATTTGCAAAAATCAAAGCCATCTTAGGCTGAATATTGCTGGGGGGGAGAAGCCAGCTTTTCAGCAGCGCTTGTCTGCTTGGTCTGGCTGACGTACGTTTAGTTTCATTTTTGTCATTGCAAATGAGGCAAGAAGACATGCAAGACTTCCTCTCTGACAACCACAAACATGATTTACAAGGAAAATGTTCAAAAGTTTTGTGACCCAGATCTTCCTAACTAAGTCAGTAAGTGAACCAACACTGGGTCATTTTGTCTGTTTTCTTTCCTCAAGAGTTAATGCACTCCTGACCTTTCCATAGCTCTAGTATACCCCAAATCTCTTTCTTTAAACCCTATTAGGGAAGGGGTACTAAATTAATAATAAGAAAGGAAAGCCCTCCATGTACAAAAAGGCCAACCAAGTGAAAAGCAGTTCCTTTTCACAGAACAACCAGTGTATTTTAAAATTCTATAGTATAAATAGTGCCTTTCAAATATGGCTTATTAAACAGGAAAAAAAAGATTCAGGTAAAAATGTATAGATTAGAATGAATGAAACAAGACTTGAGGCAAAATGCCTTAGTCTCTGGTGGTAGTGTTTTGTTTTCCCCATTATTTAAAGGGATCAGAAAGGGCCCTGCTTCAAATGACGTGAAATTCAATCAGCAGGCCAATGCAGTTAAACAAAACTAGTCTTTAAAGGGTACACTCAAAAGACTGTTTCATAATACAAATATTTTTATTATTAGACCCTACCAGAAAGCTCTTTTGGGGAAGCTTTGTTACGAACTGCTCCCAGAATCTCATCTACTAAAGGGTAGCAATTTTCCTAGAGACTGAAGATGAATTTAATGAAAAGTTAAGCTCTAGTTCAGCCAAGTTGCCATGGTAATAAAAAGACCCTTTGTGCAATTATGTAACAAGAAAAAAAGGTTTGTTGCTAAAAACCAGAAATGATTAGAATATAATCAGGTAAAAGGCACTTTAGGCAATAAGGGATTACCTTAGCTGAAGAGCTTTTCGTTATTTTTATACTATCCACGTCTTCAACAAATCTTATTTTTATTAAAAATTACAAGTGTAACATTTTGCCTTTTGGAGCAACCCACAGAAATGACCAAATGAAAGACTTAAGATGAAATCTTTTATACTTAAAAAAATAAAGAAGGGTAAATATATGAGATGCTAAAATCAAGCCGCAAGGTTGACTTTTAAATTTTACTTATACTTTGGCTACTATTGTATAAAAAAATAATTTACTAAAGTGTACTTCACTTGAATACATAAGGAAATACTAAAACTGGTATTACATAGGGAATGAGAACATTGTATTCCTAAACCTTAGCATTTATGAACAATATAAAAATAGTATTTCTTGGCATGGTGAATATTAGTAAACTATTTTCTAAGAAAAAAATGTGGTAAATCAGTTTAGGGTAGGTTAAAATCAAGAAAATTCCTCATTTCCCATGTTAACAGTTATACATTTTCTAAGCAAATAGTGTATATTATTGTATGATGGCCTTTAAAATATTAAAGATTCTGTAAGACTTACAACACATTGATGGAAGCCCTGTCTGGAAACACAATATGGAATAACCCACATTCTATTTCTATTTTCTAATTACTGAAGTTACTATAGATGGGTTTTCAACTTGATAGCCAAATTCCGAACATTGCAAGAGAAAAAGGAAAAAAAAAACAGAGATGGGATGCAATAAAATAAACAGAATCACTACTGTATTTCCAATTCTGTTGGAGAACTGTGGAGGCTGTGCTGAGCTGAACTGCAATTGCACACAGATAACACACCAAATTGTGTGCTTTCATACATGTTACTTGTTTGCAGCCAGGAATGCCCTATTACACAGACCAAAGGAATAAACTATATAATCTGCTTTCTATCATGGATCTCAAATCAAGCATGGATTTCTCACTTATGCTAGCAAGTAACCCTCTTCAAATCCCTCTATTCAAATCCCTTCTGAACAGATGTTGCACACGAAGGTAAGGTATTTCTTGAAACAAAGAAAGTGAGCTACCACTACAGGACAGAGAATGCCATACCAATTCCCACAGACATCTTCTAAGCTATAAGCATATGGCCAGGTGATTAAGAGTTTTAAAAAGGGGTTTAGAAAAAGAAAAAAGGAGATACATGTGCAAATTCCACTCTTCACTCGTGTTTTATATAGCAATAAAAATGTTCATTGGACTAAGGAAGAAATAGCTTTTAATTTCAATATTGGTTTAATCCAAACTTCATTTACCAAAGCAAATGATGACATATGTATACATTTCAAATTCTCTACCCTGGCCCTATTCTACCCTCTGAGATCAGTCAGATCACATCCTCTATTCAGTATAAAACCTGGTCTGTGCTCTGTAAGTAAGTTTTGAACACCATTAGGGTGTTGTTGAAGACAGGAGGAATGAAAGTGATCACAGTGTAAGTGTGACAGGCTGTAAAATGCTGTTGTATAATTGCCTTCCAGTGCTTTCTAATCTGCATAGAAACCTCCCATTCCTCACCTGTACAGACTCATCTTACTACAGTTTAAATGATATCCACACTACAGGTTTCTTTGTCAGTGCTTTATGTTCAATAAAGAAAAGTGGCAATCCTGTGGATATTTTAAATCAGAGGGGGATGGAAGGCCAAGGAATGGCATCAACATATACAGTGCTTGTAGTCATCACTAAAAATCACATGCAAGAAAAAAAACAAACAAACACCACCAAATGAGCACAGAAGATGCCAAGTACAACTGGGGCCTTCTGGTCACGCGAGGGAGGTCAGCCTCCAGGAGACCCTCCTGTGAACATGACTCTATTGTGTTCTCAAAGCGCCCTATCAAAAACATATAACTGATGGAAAAACAAAGCTAGAAGCAGCTCATTTAAAATAAAATCAGATACTTTGAGTTATTTTAGGATTTGGCTCAACTTCTTTGATATTACCAGCATTCTCTTCACATTCACTTGTTCCTTTTAAAAGTCAGGAGGGATTTTAATGTGAACAACAGAGTGACTGCAGAATATAAATACATTTGTATAAATTCTCAGGCACTGATGTACGAAGTCAAGCACTTATCATACTTTGCTTGGCATTGAGGTAAACAGAACATAGTATTTTTTGTTTGTTTGTTTGAAGCTACAGCATAGAGTTCTTCAAGTCTTTATTTGAAGTTTACATTATTATATTACTAAAACTTCCTCCAAAAAAGTAATGTTACTCTGGAAACATTAATTGCTCAATTTGTGAATGTGATTATGTTTTACACAGTTATAGTCAGTCATTTTCTGAAGCCTGCTCAGATTAAATGCAGAAAGGAGTTAAAGCAGTCCCAGACGGACAAATCTAGCATTAGATAATTCCACTGACAAAGGAATTCCTTAGCCAAAGCCACCAGACTGGTTTTATATATGGCACCTGAAAATTCTAAACAAAGGGCAGCTGGTATTATCACTAGATGGAGGCTTCACCAAGATCTCTTTCTTCCAAATTAGTTAGCAGCACATGTCATAATTGAAATGTAATATGTTTACACAAGGTTCTTGAAACCAAGTATTTCTTAACTTTCTTAAGCACTATGCTCTGGAAAACATGCTTTTTTTTGAATGGCAGATTTAGCCTTTCTTAAAGTTAATCCAAACCCCAATATGCACATTTTTCTTTCTCAAATGGATTATTTCAGATACTCACAGGAATCATATTCAAAATCTTTATCTTCAGTGGTTTAACATCCTTTCTGCAGCAAATTTTTAAAAAGAACAAAGAACTAATGCCTCAAAATATAAGAAAAAAAATTTAAACCATGGAAGCAACTTTTTATGCCAAGGTTTTGATTGGTCTTGTGTTTCTGATCTGAAAATAATATTCCCACGATTTTTGCTATTATACTCTACAGTAGAAAAAACATTTTCCAAAGTTGACCTACTCTTTTTGCTAAATGTGTAGGTCTTTCTAGAAATGTTTTCTTAAAAATGAAAATGGTTTAAAGCTTACTTTCTCTGAGATATCCCCTAAAGTCATTTTAAGAACTTGCTTGATGGACTATGAGTAAAAAAAAAGACTGAGTGTGGTCTCATAATATATTCTGAAGTTAGAAAGATAATGTGCTCTACAATTAGAGGATGGAGTACCCGATTCCAAACTCAAATCAAATTCAGGTTAAGACCTCTTGGTATTAACACTGAACACCTTCCATTACAGAAATTATCAATTTAAATTCAGTTTATATTTACTCTGCTGAGAAGTCCATCTCAGTATCACTTGATGACTTATTTTAAATTGAATTTATAGATATCTAGTTATTAGATAGTGTCTTAGATCTTCCCCCTCACCTTCCCTCTCTATTTAGTTAACTCTTAGTGGAGATAGGCTCTGTGATGGTTACTAAGCAATAAAACTACTGTTTCCTTACTAGAAGAAAGGAGTACATTTTCTATCATGTGCAGTAGTGTACAGTTTACACTTACTTTTTAAACAAAGTTGTATTTTAATCTAATGTCATGTTAAAAATGTGTATCAATGGAATTTTAAGGGGAAAAGGCAAAAATGTACCAATACTTTCTTAGGAGAAAGGTGTTTGAAGACAGAAAACAAGCAAAAGGGGAAAACGTCTCATCACAGGAGATGCTATTGCTTTAAACTTGATAAGGGCCAGGTATATTTTGGTCTAACCCTGAAAAGGACAAATTACACACATCCTCACACTTTCAAAATATGCCAAAGAATTATTTATTAACATAGGACTTACAGATCACAAAAGAGAATGGTACAGAAGAGCTGGAAAAGAAGTCATCAGAATAAGCATGCAGATCAGTATTGGCAGAGGAATATACCAAAGCAAGTTCAAAAAGGCACATTCACACAGAAAATGTCTAAATTGAAAAAAAAAAAAAGGACATCAGAAAAGCAGCCAAAAAAAAAAGGTGTTGATTAAAATACAAAGATTTTCAATGTCAAAGAAGAGCTACTTTACAGGTAGGTAGCTAGCTAGCTACAGAGGTCTTGCTAACCCTTTGAGAACATCATAGTGAGGGTAAGCTCTTGCTACCAACAAAGCCAGGTGATCTTAATGACTTCACAGCAAGATGCTTCAGTGCCAGAGAGATTACACTGAGTGTGTGTGGGCAGGATGGGCAAATGCAGCCTAGCTGAAATTGTACGCAGCAAGGGCTCAAAGAGTTAAATGTGATAATACCAGGCAGGGAAATCAGGCAGTTCTTAGTATTGCCTAACTTCCATACAAAGAATTACAGCAAGAGTTAAAAGAGACAGTATCCCCTTCAGAGTTAAGTTAGGGTTTCCAAACAGGATTTCAGGTCCAAAAATAGCAATCTACCAGGTTTTATTTGTGCTTCATCAGCCCACTAAGAACTTCTCCAACAAGGAGTACCTTTGACCCTCAAACTAAGAGAGCAAGAGATACTGTGGTGAACATGAGGAAAAAGTAAAACCAAACTGCATCAAAGCAGTCCCTGCCAGTTACCCTCTAAAATACATGTGTGTAGTTTTGCTCAACAACAATATAGCTCATTGGTCAGACATCAACCCCTTTTATCAACCGCTCTAAAGGGATACTGCTCCTTTCTGACAGGAAGTTTACAGGTCAAAAGGAGGAAACAATCTACTTTTAAGAAATCCTCAAACTGAAGAGATTTGGCTTAAATAGTACAGGTTCCAAGCTGGGAATGTTCCAAACATACATAAAAGAACATGAGCACAGAAGATTATTTTAACAGGTCCATCAGAACAGGCTCAGTCAAAAAGCCAAACTCCCATCTCCAAATAAAATAGAAAAAAAAAGACATCCCAAACCCAGATGAGACTTATCGAATAAAGACATCTAGCTTGGCACTGTGAAAGAATACAGATTCACTTTCAGAAAAATAGCTTCTAAGTAATAACTTCAGAGTCCTGAAGGCTAGTATACATGTTATGAGATTTTAAAATAAAAACCAAATATTGTCCAGAAAATGGAGCACTTTGCATCCAGCTGCTGTGGTTCAAGCAGCTCATACAAAAAAGGAACAAAATCACTCTATCAAACAAACAGCAGCAAAACATCTGAGGAAAAGTACAAAATAAGTAGACAGGAATACAAGGAGCTCTGCAGACAGCCCACTGCGCTTGGAAAATGCCTTAGCAAGTAGCAGTGAGAAACACCTCATGTGTCGGAGAGCTTGCTCCTGATTGCACACCCTGTTTAAAGATAGCCCCAACATTTCAATAGCCAAAGGATGGATGCAGTTTTGTTTTCTGACTTACCAATTTGATATATGCAAAAGGAGTAATACTTCACAGTTTCTGCCTGGCTCTGTAAACTTGAAGTGTCTTCTGTGACCCTCTCCAACAATAAATCCTTCATATATGCCAATGTTTTATAGAATAATACACTAATACTGAGATATTTTTCATTATTAAAGGCCACAAAATAGGTTTATCTTTCTATATATCTATCAAATAACAAAACAAAATAAAAACTAGGACACTTGTGAATCTAGTTTTTATGATAGGAAGTTGGACTAGAGAATAAACTGCTACATGTAAGTCCACGTAGAATTTAAAGAGGGCTCCCTTATGTTTTCAAACATTTTAAGAGAAAGTTAGTAGTTACCCAATTCTACTACCTACAGATTTGTTACAATTTAATACTTCCAGTAACAGAGTTAACACTGAAAACCATACCTGAATCCAATTAACAAGTCATGCCCTCTCCTCGCAAGACCCTGGCATACAGGACATAGATACACAAGTGCTTTCCCTCTTCTTCTCTTGTAGGGACATGGCAAACTGCAGTACAACTGACTAAGCATTTTTACTTTTTTGACCTAACAAAAATTAGTTTCTGTGAACCAAACAAATACTACATTGGCAGCTGTCCAGTATACCCAAGAGAAGAAAGATGGAGAAGGATACACTGACCTCATTCACAGAAATGGAGCAACATTACTAACACAGCAAAAGTCTATAAAATTTCTGGCAAAGTGGAATTCATTTAGCAGTGGACTTTTATCTGCCTCTAACACCAACCTGGTGTTAGATTTCAAAAATAAAAGTATTTTAGCTATCCAATCTAAATCCCACAGTATTCATGGCATCCATATAGCCAAGAATCAAAATTAACGCCTCGTTAAGGGGACTGGCAATGAAGAGCTTAATTATTAGAAATTCATAAAGGTTAGGAGTCACAGCTTTACTCTTCTGTAAATCAACACCCACAGAACCATCTTTGAAACCTACATTACCATCACCAGAGCAATCTCACCAATTCCTCACCTGCAGCAGGAGGATGCTGGCCACTAACTGTTGGTAAATCCAAAGAGCTATCAGACATGACATGCTTAAGATCTCCTCCCACATCTGTCAGTTTCATGTCAAACTGAACAGAGAGTGCATCTTCCGAATCCTCCTTGCCAGCACTGCTGCTGCCAATGGAAGGGAGATCTAAGGACTTCACTGAGGCAGAATCTTCTTTGGTGTGTCTGAAAGCCACTGCTTTCTCTCCCAGGGATTTGTCCGAGTTCATGGACGAAAATTTATTGGTGTGGAAGTCAGCAAACTCATCATCACTTTTCCCTGAAGCAGTGTTCTCTTTCAGTTCTTCAACACCTAGTCCTGATCCTTCCAGAGAAAGTTGTTTGAAGACATCATATTTGGTAGATACAGCAGCTGAGTTCTGTCCACTCTTCACTGTGCTGCCCGAGCTGCTGGTTAGAGGAACAGGGCTTGCTTCCTCTTTAAGGGTATCATATTTGACATCTGCCTTTTGCTCAGATGAAACAGAGCTGTTACTGAAAGCCATAAAATCTGCAAAGTCATCCTGCTCCCCAACAGATGCTGGAGCAGAATAGTCTCCAAAAAGGTTGAATTCTCCAAAATCATCAGCCAGACTAGAAGGCTTAGTGGATGCCAATGCTGTCATAGTTGCAGCAGATCCTGTTGGCTGTGGTCGTGCAGAAACAGATTTTGATGCAGTAAATGCAGTGGAAAAAGACAGTGGTTTCTCACTGCTGCAACTTACTGAGGAAAACATATCTAAGTCTGCTAAGTTCAGGGGATTTTTCACTTGCGCTTGTTGTTTCTGCTGCACAGCTCCTGAGGGGAAGGCTGCTGGAAAAGTTTTGTCTTTTGTTGGTGGCTCTAGTGGTGATACACTATCAGCAGTTTTAAAATCAGTGAAACCATCGTCAGTTCCTGCAGACCTGAATTCAGCAAAGTTTTCTCCTGAAAGCAAAAACACAAATAAATAAGAATGCTGAGCTGAAAACCACATGATGCACAGCATATTCAATTTCTAGCATGCTTTTTTTTTATAGATTCTCCCTCACTGGCTTGATATTTAACCACAATTAAACCCTACCAAATACCCTACACATTTGTTTCCACATGGAAGGCTGGTGACACTGAGAGAAAGAATCAAAATGAGAGCACCTATCAGTGTCATTTTCACTTGCTCATTTTAGTCTGATATGAATGCTAGTACCAGATCCTTCACTTGTTCAAAGGAACTGCTCTCCAGACTCTTTCTCACTATGGCTAGCCAGCCAAGCATAGTATAGAATAAGAAATAGATGCCGGAGATTCCTGAAGAGAGGCATTTTAAAACAGTGGCCCTTTAAAGATAAAATGTGTTACATGGTGATCAATCAGGAAAAAAATATAACAGTACCAATGAAGCATTATGAAAAATCCTGTACTGGATATTTAGGATGTACAACACTTTTGCTCAACTAGTCACTTTAAACGTGTTGTTAGATATGATGAGGTCTTGCTCTAGAATATGAAGTATTCTTTCAAAAAGAACTCTGATGGAAATTTTTGAAAAGGTTGTCTACTTGCAAGGCATTCTGGCTAAGGGCACATTTTAAAGCAGCTTTCCACCATCTCTCCAACAAATAAGCTGAATCTCACAGAAATAATCTGTAAGTACTTGGACTTTTCTTGATCAAAATCAGTCATTTCACTGTTCCAATGAGCACTTACTCTTTTTTTATCTTTTTCCCAGCAGCTTTATTATTATTATTATTATTTTAATTAAGGTATCATTGATATCTTATCAAGGTTTCACATGAACAACACTGTGGTTTCAACATTTACCCATATTATCCAGTCCTCACCCCGCACCCCACTGCAGTCACTGTCTATCAGCGTAGTAAGATGCTATAGAGTCATTACTTGTCTTCTCCAGGGCACTTATTCTTATTTATTAAAATTCAAAGGGATTTGAATAAATATCAACTATTCTTAAAATTTTCAGTGGTATGATTTAAACTTTACATTAAGCTTCTCTGAGGATGGAGTTATGGAGAATTTTTAAAATTATTATTTAGTTAGAGAAAATAGGTACTAATTTCTCATAAATAATTAAATTGACTCAGTTATGATACTGATAAAAATCTAGACCCATGATTCTAAATAGGGTTTCTATTCTTTGTTATCAGAGTAATGTTATCACTCCTAGGTATGAGGTTACGTACAGATGATCTCAATTTTCTAATGGTGTCTGAAGGTTTTCCATAAGACCCACCAGGTTATATCAGGTAATGAACACCAGAGATAAACCTAATATGAACATAGCTATACCCATATTGCTTATTACTTAAAAATGTAAGTGCCATTTCTGAAGTTAAAATATAAGTTGAATTTCTTCAACCATTTAAAAAATTCTATTTTCCTCTAAATGTGAGATATAGAAGTAGATGAACTATAAAGAAATTACTTAAAACCACAATTTAATTCTTAAAATTGTCACTACAATAATACAGGCTTTAAATATTTTGTGCTTACAATAGGATATATGCTTTGATATATCATATGAAAAGAGCAAGGAAGATAATGGAAACTGATTTTTTCCTCCTAACTTGAGATACTTAACCAATTCACCAGCATACTTCATCAATACAGACAAATCTATTTAATATTAGGAAAATTTTAGAGAGGAACAACATTCAGAATTCCTGTATTTTATGTTTTTAAGACACTGCACTAGTAAAAATAAAGTCAATTTCACAAATTGACAGGAGAAGCAAATGTAAAACGTAAAAGAAAATTGTCCTAAATTTTAGGCAAATATGTTATTGATAATATTTGTATTATTTCTGTAAATGAAAAGGTAATAAGCAATCAATTTTGTCACAGCCTAAATTTTTTTTTCAGTCTTATTTAAGATATTTATTTTATGGATTTCTGAAAAATGAACTAATGCACAGCCTAAATTATTGATGTGCTGTTTTGAAATTTCTGTGAAATTGACAAGTTTTGCCTTGTTATTTTGAAAAAGAAGTCACCACAGCAAACTAAACTTACTGAAGAATTGTGAACATTTCCATTAGAAATGTAAGCTGGGTGAAAGGGTTAAAAAGAAATAAAAATAGGTGGGTTTACAAGCTCAAAAACAAAGAAAATTTTGGGGCAAATAAATTAGTTGTAGTTATTGGAAGCTTGCATATCAGAAGAGGCATGAAGTATGTTACTTATGGGTAGCTTTTCAGTTAACATCAAAATCCTCAAAAGTTTCCCTCTTTTTGGGTCCTACAAACATTTCAAGAGATCAGTTTTTGCTAAAACTTCAATAACAAGTGTCACTTCTCTATAAGGAATATATTCCTGGTCTACTTCAATTTATGTTTTTAATTGTAGGGGTAGAAAAAAGCAAGTATAATTAAACTATCACTTAGTAACCTAAGAAATCCACAGCTCTAAACACAGTACTATAAGATTCTTCATAAATTCTAAGATACTAACATACTTTGATAAAATCAGGCCAATGTATTTTTAATGAGAGTAAAATACATTCTCCTAAAATGGACAAACTTGGCATCTATATTTGGAAGGCATTAAAGTTAAGATAGGAATGAAAACAAGTAAAAAAAGATGGCAACAATCTGGGTTTCTGTTAACAAAGTCCTATAAGAGCCAGACTAACGTGTTGATTTCATTTTGGTGGCATCAACGTATATATCATATGATCATTAATACCATACTACACAAAAAACCCTGATTTTAAACCATGCTCTTTTGATGGTCTAAGAGTTGATGAAAACATTGGTAGAAGTAAATGACAAATTAACAAGCCAAAAGTTCCTCTAGGGTTTATCTTTGAACTTAGTGCCTAATACAGGCACAAAGGAAGAAATAGTTATTACATCCTAAAGGCTTGAATGAAACACAAGGAAACATTTCTAGAACTTAAGAGTTGTAAAGGATTGAACATTATAGACAAGGCGGGTTTCTCTTTTTGGAGATGTTTAAGCAGTACACTTTCTTTTTTATTAAGGTGTCATTTATATATACTCTTATGAAGGTTTCACATGAAAAAACAATGTGGTTACTACATTTACCCATATTGTCAAGTCCCCACCCATACTCCAATGCAGTCACTGTCCATCAGTGTAGTAAGAATGCACAGATTCACTATTTGCCTTCTCTGTGCTACACTGTTTTCCCCATGACCCACCACACCATGTGTACTAAACATAATACCCCTCAATCCCCTTCTCACTCCCTCTCCACCCTCCCACACCCCTCCCCTTTGGTAACCACTAGTTCCTTCTTGGAGTCTGTGAGTCTGCTGCTATTTTGTTCCTTCAGTTTTGCTTTGTTGTTATACTCCACAAATGAGGGAAATCATTTGGCACTTGTCTTTCTCCGCCTGGCTTATTTCACTGAGCATAATATCCTCCAGCTCCATCCATGTTGTTGCAAATGGTAGGCTTTGTTTCTTTCTTATGGCTGAATAGTATTCTATTGTGTATATGTACCACCTCTTCTTTATCCATTCATCTACTGATGGACACTTAGGTTGCTTCCATTTCTTGGCTATTGTAAATAGTGTTGTGATAAACATAGGGGTGCATCTGTCTTTTTGAGTCTGAGAAGTTGTATTCTTTGGGTAAATTCCAAGGAGTAGCATTCCCGGATCAAATGGTATTTCTATTTTGAGTTTTTTGAGGAACCTCCATATTGCTTTCCACAATGATTGAACTAGCTTACATTCCCACCAGCAGTGTAGGAGGGTTCCCCCTTTCCCATATCCTCACCAGCATTTGTTGTTCTTAGTCTTTTTGATGCTGGCCATCCTTACTGGTGTGAGGTGATATCTCATTGTGGTTTTAATTTGCATTTCCCTGATGATTAGTGATGTGGAGCATCTTTTCATGTGTCTGTTGGCTGTCTGAATTTCTTCTTTGGAGAAGTGTCTGTTCATATCTACTGCCCATTTGTTAATCGGGTTATTTGCTTTTTGGGTGTTGAGGCATTTGAGTTCTTTACATAGTTTAGATGTTAACCCCTTGTCAGGTATGTCATTTACAAATATATTTTCCCATACTGTGGGATGCCTTTCTGTTCTGTTGATGGTATCCTTTGCCGTACAGAAACTTTTTAGTTTGATGTAGTCCCATGTGTTCATTTTTGCTTTTGTTTCCCTTGCCCGAGGAGATGCATTCAGGAAGAAGTTTAAGCAGTACACTTTCTACTTTAACTGTCGCACATACCTTCCATCCCTATAATCTCACCCCACCTCCCTCTCTCATCTATATTCCCTGAACAGAAGGATGAGGACAAATGGTTGCTGAAGAATGCTCCAAATTTGAACATTCAGTACACTAAGGAAGAATGGTGTAGTCATACCTTAAAGACACTGTAAGTTCAGTTCCACAGCACTGCAGTAAAACGAGTCAGAATTTTTTGGTCTCCCAGTGCATATAAAAGTTATTTTTACACTATACTGTAGTCTATTAAGTGTGCAAAAGTATTATGTCTTAAAAAAACAATATACCTTATTTTAATTAAAAGGTACTTTATTGCTCAAAACTGCTAACCATCATCTGAGCTTTTGGACAGCTGTAATCACTGATCATAAATCACCATAATATAGTAATAATGAAAAAGTTTGAAATAGAGCAAGAATTACCAAAATGTGACACAGAGACACAAAGTGAGCAAATGCTATTGGAAAAACGGTGCTGGTATACTTGCTTGATGCAAAGCTGCCACAAACCTTCAATTTGTAAAATATGTGTATCCATAAAACACAACAAAGCAAGGTACAATGAAATGAGATCTGCCCGTACTGTTCCCAGGAAGGAACCCTCAGAAGACTGTATTAATTTCATAGCATGCACAGTCCAGCTTTGAAACACATAATTTGACCTATGAATTATCTAAACCCTATACATCAGGTTTATAGGATTTAACCACAAACAGAGGTTTCAGTCTTTACACACATGGCTCTCAAATTATCATTCTATATTCCTCTCTACTTTATTTAAGCCCTTCTATCAAAGATGGGGACCACATGTACAAATAAATCTCTTTCACTTCATCTAACTGAATTCTAGCAATTTTGAAAATCTTATAAAGTAGAAGAGTGGTTGCTACCTTCTGCACAGTCCCCAGATTGCTCACTTCCAACAGTTCTAGTCTTGTTGATATTAAAGTAACAGAAAGTAGTCACAGCCCTCCATTTGACAGAGGAGTCTAACTTGGCTTGAAGGCTGCCAATGAATAGAATTCACTATCTTCAGAGGAAACTGCATTGATTTGGGATTTGCTTTGAACTTTAGAAAATATTTTCCAGTAACTGAACTGCATTTATTTCCAATTTCCACATCCATAAAACAAACAAAAAAAACCCCACACACAATAAAATAAAGGAATGTTTAAGAGTGTCACTGAAAGAACCATCAAAAATCTTTTATTAAAAATTAAAATGATTTATCCATTTAAGGAATCAAAAACTTACCTAAAGATTTACTCTCTGCTGTCTGTTCGAATTCTCTGAAAGCACTATATTTATCACCAGATTCTGTGATGAAAAGATAAACTCAATTGAGATCAAAACTCAAGGGTAGTACAGCAGACTGGGTTAACCAGACATACTTATTAATGTGTAGTATAATAAGCATTCTATACATTTACTATAAAAGGCTACTGCTAAAACAATGATTTATATTCATAGGTTTATGGATTTAAGAAAACTGTTTTTACCTCCAAATGGGACAGTATTTTCAGAGGACTTGTCAGCTGTAATTCCTTTAAACACAGCATATTTATCCATTGAAGCTGATGCTTTGTTTCCAGGAAGTGGCATCAACAAAGAAGGGGCACTAGAAGGGAAAAAGAAGTATTTTGCAATGACTAGAACATTGAATCCATCTCTTACCATCAAGTGGTAACTTAGAATTAAAATGGCAAACAGGTACGTAGTTAAAACTCACAGTTACCTTCTTTAAAAGTTAGAAACTACACACACACACACACACACACACACACACACACACACACACAAGACAAATGAATAAAAACAACATTTTTTTCTTGAAAAAAATATACTGAAATAACAGTGAAGTGATAATTCTTTTCTTGCTTATTTGAAGAGGGATCAGACCCATGCTAACCAACCAATTATTTCANACACACACACACACACACACACACACACACACACACACACACACAAGACAAATGAATAAAAACAACATTTTTTTCTTGAAAAAAATATACTGAAATAACAGTGAAGTGATAATTCTTTTCTTGCTTATTTGAAGAGGGATCAGACCCATGCTAACCAACCAATTATTTCATTAAGCTATAACAGCAATTGGAATGGAATTAAAAATAGATTATTATAGAATGATGACCTCCTGCAATTTTAACTTAAGGTCCATAAAACTGCAAAAGTGATCTTCTCCAAATATGTACATCCAATATTTTTTAAGTAGATTATGTTAGTCTTATATGTTCTCTAAAATGGGTTCAGAATGCAGAGGTGGAATAGTTAAAATAAAAATCTATTTATGAACAGTTGTTCAAGCCAAGATGTAAATTGTTCTTTTGATCATATTGCATTGCTACCTGCTAGAATTCACCTATCTAAGCAGCAGCAGAGTTAATACAACTTGCATTTTCCCAAGGATCACATCAATGGTTCCAGAAACTATCTCAGTAGCAAAGCAACAATCACTTCAAAATTAGATAAGGAAACTTTGCCTGTGGACATATTTCTTGCTGGATGGAAAAACAGTGTAATGAATAGATCTGTGTAGGTAATTCTTGGATGATTTAGATACATGCTATAAAAGCATTACTTTTAATTTTTTTTCCTTATCAAACTCAGGAAGAAATACCTTTACATATGAATAACTACATTCCACCACTACTTTGTGTCATTCAATACCACACACACAAGTTGTATAAGTGGATTTCTATTGAGTTTTTTGCCCTGGAGCAAAAATCTCTCCACAGTCATTTAAATCTTATCAGTGGCCTACAAGCAAGGTACAAACCCAGCTCTTGCAACATGCATGCTAACGGAGGTTCATCGTGCTTGAGTACTTAGTGCTATCAAATACTACAATTTCACATCGCTGTCGAATAGCTGCTACATATTTGATCTTGACAAACAGGTCATCACCTGTACATTACAGGTGGATTTTTTTTTTGAGAGGGTATCACTTATATTTATTGATCAAATGGTTGTTAACAACAATAAAATTCTGTATAGGGGACTCAATGCACAATCATTAATCAACCCCAAGCCTAATTCTCAACAGTCTCCAATCTTCTGAAGCATAACGAACAAGTTCTTACATGGTGAACAAGTTCTTACATAGTGAATAAGTTCTTACATAGTGAACAGTGCAAGGGCAGTCATATCACAGAAA